GTTGCAGGCTCGTCTCGCTGCAAATCCTGGCTTTGCTCCGGCACCCTGGCCCTTCTGCCTTAGGGTTGGCTTCCCGTTCTGGGAAGTTACTGTACCTCGTAACAGCACCCACCTCGTGCATTACGTACTTCTCTAGCAGAGCATCCCTTCACACTTTGTCCAAATATTAAAAGTTATATTTGAGAGCAGTTTTCTGGCCTAGAAGAATTTGCCTTGCTGTAAAAAGCGTTGAAATAATTCTGTGGAGTTAAATCCTGCTACTTTTAAAATTAATTTAAAAGAACACGAGGTAAAAATCCTCCCAGTGACTTCAGAGGTTCAGGATCGTATCTGTGTTCCTGCTTCCCTGTGTTTCTTTTCTTGTCTTGTTTTTGCTTCCGGATCTAAAGCAGTGATCCCTGGTAGCTCAGCCGTGTGCAGCCTCCCCTGGAACTGGCAAGTTCGTCTTGCTTAAGGTGCTTCCCGGGCAGTGCTTCATCTGGCACTTGCAGCATGCAGAAAATGGTTTAAAACTGAAAGTTCGACTGCACAAACAATAATAACCACTACTTTTACCTCTTGCTGCTGGTCAGTCGTCAGTAGTGTTCTGTTTCTGTGTTATAAAACATTTTTTAATTAAATGAGTGTTTTGTGTGTAAAAAGTAAGTTTGTTTAGTCATTGCTTTTAATTATTCATTCTGTTATGTACACTGATTTTTAATTCTAGCTTTTTATTATAAAGAATGAGAAGGGGAAGTGAGAGCTTCGTAGACGCCCAGTATGGTATATTATATAATAGAAAATGCTAAAAGCTACATAGTAGCTGGAAACTACCAGTGGCACCAAGTAACAGCCTGGAGTTTACAAAAAGTAACAGGGAAGAAATCTTAATTGCAAATCAATCAGTAAAATAAAGTGTATCAAATTTTGGTAGCTTCCTTTCTGCCTTTTTAAAGTTAAAATGGTGCAACATTAATAAACCCTTGAACTGAATAACAGTTTTCTGTAACAGCAAAAGTGAGAAATCTAAGCAGTTTCACAGATTTCCGTCTGCATCTTCCCTCCAGGACTGTGTCATCCTTGTCTTTGGTTTTTTTGTTTGTTATCCTTTCACATAAGTGATTTATTCTTTTCCCACAACAACTTGCTTTCTCATACTTTGGGTTTTCAGTATTAAAATAATATAATGAATACTGTGGTTGTGCTTGGGAAGGCCCACACGTTGAAGGCTGTGAGGTATGTTCTTGTAGTGAACAAACTTGTAGTTGAGAAGTGTTAAATATTTCAGAAATGTCTATGCCTGCTTATACGGAGCCATCAGACTTAGGTCTAGTGTCAGTCATCAGAAGTACCTCTTAAATTATAGTGAAGCTTAAAATACTGGATTCAATCGATGACTTACAGTATTGAGGACAGGTTATCATAACACATCCATGTAGAAATTAGAGTAATAAGCATTTACATTTCCCCCCCCCCCTTTTTTTTTAATCCTGATCCACACTTTTTCCCTATTTTCTCTGGCAAACAGTTGGGAAAAAAGTTCTTTGACAATGCAGTTGCCAAATTAAAGTTACAGTAGTAGGTTACTTAAGTTATCATAACTGAAGCTAGTTTTGCGAGGTCATGTGCAAATCCATATGAATGTACAATTCAGCACAAACATTTCCAAGGGCTTTGACACCATCATTTAACCCACAGAAAGCTATTATTGGTTGAGGCTGCTACTATAGCAAAAGGGTTTGTTACAGCCTTCTACAGCACTTATGGTAGAGTCTGTAGAAGGGGACACATGTGCATGTCTTGGGCACTTCAATAGACCTGAAGGAGGGTGCAGTTCAAAGTCTGAACTTTGAAGAAAATGATTGAAACATTCACACACTCCTATTTTGTGGACTTTGGGGAGTAGGAGCTGGCATACAGACAGATGTCAGCAATGCTGCCTTTAACTGCTGCAGTCTGACTCGGTGGTACTCTGCTGGTGACATCTGAAGAATCAATTGCTCTTTCTGTAGCCTTTAACAATTTCTGTATCTGTATTGCTGGTCTTTTGCCAAAGTAATGCCTTTTAATTGTTTTTTTTTCTAACTTTCTCTTTTCTGCCACTTACTCTATGTTTCTGTTCTTCAGCTTTTCAGCTTAAGAATCCTCATACGAGCAGTATCTGGTATTATAATTTACAGAGTACCACTTTAACGATAATGGTACTGCATCTTCAAACTGCAAACGCTCTCTGCTAGGCTAATTAAGGCATTTATAGAGCCAGGATGGTTGTATAAACATTTTTAGTGTCTATTGTGTGAGAGTATTTCAGTTTTCTTTGTTTCTCTAATAAAAAACCTAAAATCACAGTCCTAGGAAAACTGCAATTGAACTGACTTCCACATCCACGTAATGCACTGGATATGAGGATGAGAGGAAGCGCTCGTTAAACTTCCTCTCGCCATCGTCTTCTCTGTATATAGATTTCAGTTGTATCAATAGAGGCAGGCTTTTAAGTATTAGGTGAGAAGCTTTGATTTGGCCTTTAAAAGACGTGTTTTCCTCTTTTGCTTTAGGTTTGGTGTTAAAAAGAAACCAATTTATATAAATGTCATAAGGGATCCTATAGAACGACTAGTTTCTTATTATTACTTTCTGCGCTTTGGAGATGATTACAGACCAGGGCTACGGAGGCGAAAACAGGGGGATAAAAAGGTAAAGTACACTTTATTATGTGTGTTGTTCTTACTAAAGTTACTGTGGGAACAATTTTTTAAAATGTCCTGATGGAAGCTGAATAGTTCTTGTATCGGCCCTGGTGATGATGGTGGCTTTGTAAGTTATATTCTCCCCTTCATGCTTCCTAGACCAGAGTGTAATATTAAGTGTATCCTTTGTAACTGTATAAAATCACTTCACGTTGCAATTTGTTTAAATAAATAAATAAATAAATAAATGAATGTTTTCTGGTATCCAGATTTGGAAGTATCAAGTTAAGCTTATCCTCCTACGTAAGAAATCTGCATCTCTTCTTGTTTTCGACTGAGATATACATTTTTCACCAAAAGCTGTAGAACTGCTTATGCTTTGGCTTTGATGTTTATTATAATTAGTAAACCTTTTTCTTTTTTCTAATGTAAATATTGCAATAGAAATGTATAAAGAGTCTGCCTGAAAACCATGGAGTCTGAATCATACATTTCTATACTTCCTCAATCTGTCTTAGGCGGCTGTAGAAGTAGTTCAGGTTAGCATTATTCAAACCTTGATTACTAATACAGTTTCAGAATGGCAACATCATTTAGGCTCCATAATATACTTATTTCAGAAAGAATTTATACATCCACTGTTACGGTTTGCAATAAGACATTTGTTGGAGCGTGTTGCTTTGTACTTGTCTTAAATCAGGAAGAAAAGTAGGGTGTTAAGTATATGAATGTAGTTTATGAAACTATAGTTAGAACCATGTGGAAGCTTTTATACAATGTAAGGGGGTTTTGTGCTTTACAGAGCCAAAGACCTTTTAAAATTTCAGTGGCAATATTTTCTTAAACTGATGAAATTTTTCTGTAATGTTGACAATTTAGTGTAGCACTGTGCAAATACCAAGAGACACTGAAAAAATCCCTTAGCAAAAATCACACTGAATACAGCTTAGTATATAAACACCATAACAAATAATAAATGTGACTAATTTTGTGTGCTCACCCCCATCCAAATAGTGTTTTTAAAATATTGGGAACAGACCATTCCTCTCTTCTTTCCAACTGATAACTAACTGCTCCTCTGTTATTTAGGTTTTGGCTCCATCTTCTGCTACTGCATTTCAGCTTATCCAGACATCCTACAGCATAGGTAGAGGAAAGCTTCAAGCAGAACAAATTGAAATTAAGCTTAAAAAATGTATCTTCATAGAACTGGCTGCAGAGATTATTTGGTGATATGGTATAAAGGCATTTTTAAAAAGAGAGATAGGATCTCATCTTTGGTAACCTTCTCTGTTCCTTTTCCTGAGGAGCATGATTTGGCCAGCAGAATTCTCTCCTGGTGGAGATCGTGGAGTTGGAAAGTTGAGCATGCTACCAAGTCCAAGCTGCTTATAGGACTTAATATTTATTAAAAAGATTGAAATTTAACAGTGTTATTTTAGTTTTGAATTATAACCCCAACAGCCTTGATCTAGGTAGTCACTGGGAAACATCAAGCCAAAATCCCTAATGCTACTGCTTGGTAGACTGTGCTGTAAGCGCCGATTTGCTGGAAGAAGTTGAAATGCATTCGTATTTATAATGTTTGTAATGCATTGCATTAGTAATTTTATGTTTTGCTATTAAAGATGCTATTTTTTCATTTTGTCATTACCATACCATTTTATTTAGGTCTGAGTTAGTTGTTGCCATACAGATTTAACTTGTCCTGTAAGCATCTCTAGTTCATTTGAAGTGAAATTGATTTACTATGCCAAGTTTTAAGGTTTCTTTCATTTAAATCAGGTAATACTATTTTTCCATACTGCTTCCAAAAAAACTGGACATATATAGATGGTGTCGGCTTTACATACGTAAAATATGAAATTCAGTAAGCTCAACAATGGATTGACCCAGTTGCAGTGTCTATAACACTGATGTCTGTTCTAGTCTGTGTTGTAGTAGATTCACTCAGAGCTCTTCAGATCAAAAGTAGGGGAGGTGAAAAACACAGTCTTTTCTAATGGAAGTCAATTGTTCCTTTATTAAGTGGAAAGGAATCTGAATGTGCTTTACACCCTTGCCCCCTCCCAGTCCATACCACAGCATTTATATGGAAGACTTTGTCCTTCATTTTCTTTTTATATCCCTGTGCTTCCAAAGTTATAGATAGCTTGGGTCCAAGAACAGAATCTGTAAAGACAAGTGTTTCTTACAATAAAATCTCTGGATGGAGTAGTCAAGGTAAGTATATAAGAGGGGGGAAGGAGGCCTGTCCTATTTCGTCTTACTTGGAAAATTACTTGCTTGCTTTTGTATATTAACTATGAAATAACCTGCAGATGTAAGTAAAGAAGACTTTCTTTTGACAGATGCCAGTTCATTTTTAGTATATACATTCATAAGTTAGGAGGTGCATTTAAACAATTTAGTTCTCAGGTAATGCTGATGTTATAAAGTACTCATGATAGATCAGTGTGGAATTTCTCTAGAGAACTATGCTAGAGAAAGCAAACCAATGTCTGGTTTTACTGGTTAAGCTGCATTTTTATCTGTGATATGTGACATGTACGACCTATTCTAAACTCAAAGTGCAATGTGGACCAAGACACCACAGGTTAATCCCTGCTTTGGCCTGGTATCAGTAAGTTTTTTTGGATTATCTCAGGAACTTCACGTCAGAATAGAAGCAAAGGACGTGGTCCTTGTTCTAACACCAAATAATTAAGCAAATGTATTTTTACACAGTTGTTTTGAAAAATTTGTAATTATACAGAAGAAACAGTCTAAAAAGTTGTCTGTCATCACTTATTCATTATTAAATAATTTTTTTGAAAAATCTCTCCTAGATACATGGCTTATATCTTGATTAGAAATATCATAAATACTTTATGGTGACTGGGTAGAATATTTACAGATTCTTTCCAATGCTAATAGAGTTCGTATTGAAACTGTGTTGCTACAGCTGTATATCCACCTAGAGCAATGTTGTATGGAATATTCTGTTATGCAGTGAACAGCTGGCTTTCACTTCTTCTGACTGCCAAAAACAAAATAACCTCTGAAATGGCAGTTATTTGTCATAATATTTAAAATGTAATAGAACATTGTTTAATCTAAAACACAAAATGCACAGTGTTCTACGGTATAAAGATCCAGCTGTTCCAGTGTCACACAAATCCTGATGGCATTTGATGCTGTATCTTTAGTGACCCCTTCTGTAACGGAAAAATACTGATACTAACACTTACTGTTTTTGCTTGTTTTGACATATAGCCTTGATCAAGGTTATATTAAAGGTATATCAAATGTATCAGGTAAGAACAAACTGTTGATTAGTTCTAATCATAGAAGACTGTGAAAGTACTGTTTTAATTGTGACAGACGTCCCTTCCTAATAACACTGTGAAAGCAAGGCTTGAAAATTTTTTTTTTTCTTTCACAGCATATCTTGTGTTTTTCAGTCCCCACTACATTTACAGGTTTTGAAGCTCGGCTCAATTTTGTCTTTGTTCCAGACCTTTGATGAATGTGTGGCAGCTGGAGGTTCAGACTGTGCTCCAGAGAAACTTTGGCTTCAAATTCCATTCTTCTGTGGCCACAGCTCCGAATGCTGGTAGGGAGATACATGTAGCTTAAGTTGGTAGTCAAGTATATCCGTGCTGAAATCTGAACTTAACAAATTTGAATATGTAGCACAGTTGGGAAAAGTGTGAGGGACTGGACAGAGTGAAGCAGCAGGTACTGTAGTAATGTATTTTTTTTTGAAGGTGCATTTTAGTGAAATAGTCTCGTAGTTCTTCAAACAAGCAATATGTTGTGATGATGTATCAGCAGTACTATGAGAGAAAACATGTTTTAAATTTTAAAAATAATTTTTGTAGATTTGGAGTCTTGACATTTTTCTCTTATGTCAGGCTACAATATCCGTCTTTCTGAATGGAGATATTTTGTTCAAGCTCCTAGAGTTTCTGGGGAGAATGCAATAATTGCGATCAGGATAAATTTATCTTCTTAAACCGTTACCAGATATCCAGTAGTCAAAGCTATCTAGTAGAAACTGAAACAAAAACAAATAGTGTCCATCTGTCAGTGCAGCATGTTTTATAACAATGGCACGGACTTTAGAAACTAAAAAAAAAAAGAAAATAAATAGGACATAGGTGGTTTGAAGGATTGTGAGTGAAATCAAGGACAATTATTTGTCAAAGGTACTGTTCATCCAAACATAAGCAAAGTAAATGGCCACCTGGGAGCTGGTCTTTCAGTGCGTTGGTCAGACCTATCCACACCTGGGCCAGGTGGAGAAGTGAAGAAAGAACAAATTCCAAACCTGTCTTTTCACCCTGTCTAGAGCTATAAAAAGGAGGAAAAAGTGTCAGTTTAATTTCTGTCTGTTATTCAGTAGGAAAGTCCTCCCATAAGTGCAATGACTTTCTAGTTCAGAATTATGCTTGTAGAATACAAAAGGGAAGGTGTGTTCTTACCAGAACCATTTCTGGTACCTACTGTGAAAGTGGAGACTGAGTATTGACATTCAGAAAATGTAAATCCTCCAAAAATTGCATTAATAGAGACAGTAGCCATATACACACATGGGGTTTTTTGTGGATGAGTTATTAATCAAAATAACTAGAGGAGTCAAATTTTTAGATGAGAACACAGAGGAGAGAAACTGGAAAGGGAAACAAAGTCAGGAATGGTTATAACTTGGGATGAGTCTTGCCTTTGCTATACAAATGTCCTGTTATGAAGTAATCTCCAGCCAGGGACCAAGGATTGTTGGCTGACATCAGAACTTGCTGTAATTGTTCTCTGTCATTTTAGGAATGTGGGAAGCAGATGGGCATTGGAACAAGCCAAATACAATCTGATTAATGAATACTTCCTAGTGGGAGTTACTGAAGAGCTTGAAGACTTTATCATGTTATTGGAGGCAGCTTTGCCCCGGTTCTTCAGGGGTGCCACGGAACTGTACCGGACAGGTATTTAAATGGTTGATATCAATGGATTCCATGGATTTTTCATCTTCTTATCACTTTTTTTAATGTGAGTTCTTTAGACATAGATGAATAGTTTTGAGTGTCTGCCAAGTTTGCCTCTCGGTTGGCTGGTGTTTCTACAGAAGAGACAAACTCTTTACAAGACTCTCAGTACAAATTTTTGAGGGCAGCCCAAGTACCTTCCCACCTTACTCAAACTGTAAGTATTTAAGGTTGGAGTAAAGGCCTTTCCATTTCCTTAGAAGCCCTGCTGAAATTAACTGTGCTTGATGCAACCTGGTTGGCTGTGCAAAAAGGCCCAAGTACGTGTTTGTCTTCCTGGGGTTGTAATAACAAGTTTGTTATATAGCTCGTAGCTCGGTTTCTGGGAGCTGGCCATGAAACTTATGATGAAGAAAAGGTCCATCTTAGCAGGGCTTCTGTCTGGAAATAGAGGGAGAAAAAGGTCTGATGTATAGAGCCTAGATGTGTAGTATCAACAAGTTTATCATAAAGCAACAGATAGCACTTCTCAGGGAAAATGCTGTCATCATTTTGGTCATCTTTGTCTCATGAAAGAAGTCTCTTGCTCTGCAGTTTGTAAAATCCTTAACATCTGATACCAGATTAACATCTAAATAATTAACTTTGAAAGACCAGTCTTGCTCCAAGTACATTATGTGGTGTAATCTTGTTCCTTAAATGAAGTGCTCATTCCCTGGGCTTATTAGAGCAAGGAGGACGAATTGAAAGAACTGATGCAAAATTCATTAACATTTAGTGAGAGAGACTGCAATTTTCCAACCCTGCATGTTACGTTAATAAATTCTGGATTAAATTCTGTCACTTCTAATGCAGTTTATCAACATGCGGAGAGTATAAAACTCTGCAAATAAAAGGACTGTAAACATTTTTTTAATCACATGAACTTTGAAGTGAAGTTACTGCTTTCATTTTGCATTTAGGAAAGAAGTCTCATCTTAGGAAAACAACTGAGAAAAAACTTCCCACAAAAGAAACTATTGCCAAGTTACAACAGTCTGAAATCTGGAAAATGGAGAACGAGTTCTATGAATTTGCACTGGAGCAATTTCAGTTTGTCAGAGCACATGCAGTTCGGGAAAAAGATGGAGAATTGTATATTCTGGCTCAAAACTTTTTCTATGAAAAGATTTACCCTAAATCAAACTAAGAACAGTATACTGTTAGATTTATGGACCTAAGTCTTTGGTCACATCGTCGTCTTAGTCCTCAGCCATGGAAACTAGATTGCTTGTAGACCTCCAAGACATTTCTTTATAGATCTGAGAAAAGTAGGCTGTGGATCACCTCCAGGGCGTTGGATACTGGCTTCATGTCTTTTATGTAACTAATACTTTCAGTGGGAGTTAATATCCTTTACCTGAAGAAATCTACACATTAATTTGGGGCAATTAATACACAGCAGCTCTAGTTGAAAATATAAGCAGACAAAAAAATGCTTCTGTTGATGCTCTTCTTGATTTTCAGAGCAATTTATTTTCATTTATACTTCTGTGAAGAGGAAGTCATTTTTCCCAGCTTTCAACATGGAAATTTTCGTTGTATACAATATGAGTAGTGTTAATAACTGGTTGACATCTGTGCTTTGTTTTTGTGAATCATGTCACGTGATATTAATTGGGATGGTTAATCATGTTCTGCTGAGAAATGCTGCTGCTGGAATTGCCCATATTTATATACGTGGTTTTATTATAAAAATTAAACTAATCATTAGTGTTAAAACATCATTTCCACATTAATATTGTAAAAAATTAAAGAATCAGAGCAGTGGGGGTTTTGTTTTGGTTTTTTATCCCCACCACCACTGACTTGAGGTTGGAAAACTATGAAGAAAGTTGGCTTTGTCTGCAGTTCTAGTTGATCCTTACACAGTGGTGTGAAAATCGTAAATTCAGTATTAAGTTTCTCCATGGGTTCTTTGTAATAATTGTAAACCGAGGTATTGGTGAATCCATATTATGACTCCATTAGTGAGCTGTGGTATGGTTAGGGTTTTCCTACTACTTCGATACTTTTACCTGTAGAATATTTTTACTAAGGTGCTTTATAATGTGTTTTAAAGCATTGCATTTACAAAAGAAGTAAAATGCTGTAAATACTGCTTATTTTATGTATTTGGACCAAAAGGTTTAAAGTAACTAGTTTAAAGTGGGGGTTTTGCACCAGTTCTGTTACGTGTGAAGTGAAAAACATCACATCTGCTTCCTGGTTGAGTTACCGGTTGGGCCTTGCTAAACTGCACTTCAGTGACCTCTCTGATTTCAATACCAGAATGTTGTCCAGGGGTTCTCTTTACAGAAATGTAGTCTTCATCCTTTTATTATGGTACGAGAAAAAGAAGAAAAATGTCATGTATAGTCTGGCTGAGAAAGATGCAGTGAACTTGACTGACATGACTGTATTTATGTAACTGCCTTATGTGACTATTGTAAATTTGTGAGTTGCCATTATTAACAATGTGAAACACCTGGTAGGTGAAGTAAATTGAAATTTAAGAACAGATGTTTGGGGCCACTGCATTGTAGCAAATGGCAGTGGAGAACTACAAGAATTTGTTCTCTATTGAACTTTCTTAAAGATCTGACTATTTACACATCTTACACCTGCCTTTTCTTACAGTGCTTTTCACAGGGTTTGATGGGGGAAGGTGCTGAGGAGACAAAGTAAGGAACGGTGGTGAAGGTTTAAATTCCTAAGGATGATGTTTAAAGGCTTAGTTTAAAATTACCAAGTGGGGTTTCTTTAACCAGCTTATTCTTCTAATAAAAACAAAGGAAATGGAAAATGGTCTGTGAACTGGATGTCTGCAGCCAAAAGCAACAGCCCAATTACAGAGAGGATAATGAGAGACTGTCAAGTACATCTTGCATTTTTCTTTGTTTTCTTGGATTTTTCCCTTTGAATTTTAAAAATAGATCTCTCTCTATTTTTCCCAAATAATCAGGGAAGTTCCTTCTGATAGCTTACTGTTTATATAACATGAACCATGCATAAGATTTCCTGTTCTAGTTCTTGTCTGTTGACGTCATTAATAGCGCCAACATGTTTGGGAATAGGATGTGTTAGTTCACACATGAAGATATGTGTCCTAGCTAAAGAAATGAACTGAGGAGTCATACACAAGAAGTAGCTAATGGAGATCTACAAATGTCCATAACAAAGCAGTAACTTTTTTGAAATAAAATGAAGAGTTATAGTCCAAGGAAAGATTATCCACTCAGTGACAGTTTTATGTTAGATATTATTTTGACTACAGAAACCTCTTCTATTCTGTAAGCAATTCTAAAAGTTGCGGGTTTTTTTTTTTCTTCCAGGATTTAGAATTTTTTAATTATGAGTTTTCAGTAACAAAAATAATGGAAAACGCAATTTTTTTATTTTTAAAAGAGCAATATATTTTTCATAGTTCATATAAGAAAACACATTTTATTTAATGAGATATCACTTCCTGTTCTTTACTGTGAACTGACAGGGTTAAGACAAACAAGAATTTTAGGAATATTTTTTAAAAATGCTAGCTAGAATTGGAGAGGTATTCATTCCAGATGTACTCTGAAAGTGTTATTGTCTGTGGAACACAGAAGGAATCAAGACTGTCTACTTTTATATCTAGTGCAACCATTAAGTCAACTGTGAACTTTTTAGAGTCCTTTGAATTCAGAACTATCAAACTTGGATTTCCTGAGACAGTTCAGGAAAAGGAGCTTTACAGATTTTTAATAACTTGCTCTATTAATCTTCTATTCAGAAATGGAAACAATCCAAATTGTTCGTATTAAAGATATTTTACAGTATATAAACAGAATGTATCTTGTGTATTTTCCCTTAATGACTTATAGTGAAAAGCAGCAATATGTGGATTTTTGTTGTTGCAGGTTGTATTATCAGTAAACTTACTATGCAGCCTCCTGAACATGGATCTTTTAACAGAAGTCACTGTAGCCTCTGCACAGGAGTGAGATTGGCTTTTTGCCAGGCTAAGTTCATTTGAAAGGTGCTGAAATGCTCATATATATATATATAGTTGAGAGTAGGTTTTGTTACACTCTTGTGTACTTTTTGTACAAAATTAATGCCCAGATTTTGTGCAAAACTGTAGCCCTGTTGAAACTCTTGGTGTCAGCATAATGGGGCTAGGTCCAGCTGCGCTGGTAACCACGTAGCCATAACCACAGCATGCCTAGAGCACTTGTGATACACTGGGCAGTGCTGACAGGAGAGCAACAGTGGGTTTAACTCCTTCCCGTAATAATTCTGAAGCCATGCAACAAGAATTTCACTCTTTATTTTGTTAGTGCATCTATAAGCAGACACAAGGCTAGGGTGCAGAGTGTCCTGTGTGTACGTTCCCGCTTGCTCTGGGTTGATTTTCGAGTAGTCTCTCTATTAATGGAACGCTGATCATGGCTTCATTTTGAAACAGGCATGAAAACTTGTAGCTGTGCAATACAGGAGAGGGGGAAGCAGCCCATCCTGGTTGTTTGAAATGCCTTTTCTGGCTACTTAGCTTTTCTGAAGATAATTATCTGTTTTTACTTTCCAGGAATAAACATTTGCTTATTTATGGTCTCAGAGCAGTTCTATTTAATATCGGGGAAAATTCAGTTATTTTCTGTTCTAATTCTGTTTAAATTTTCCATTAAGCTTACCTGGCTTTGCTAAATGTGCATGTGACAGCAAGGTGTACAGATGACGCTGACTGAACTGTGCTGTTTAAGCAGTCAGTGGAAAAGCCTGATTCAAGTGCACTGCCAATTTTGCTCTTCAAAATTAGAGCACATTTTATGAGTACTAGAGATTAAACTTAAGAAAACTGTAAGGCTGCTTAGTTGCATGGATGCTTCCTTTACTGTAAACCTATGCAACTATGTAACCTTTGCAGCAGTATTTATGGAAAGAGCCCTCTTCCTGAGACTTTTCTGGAGCTTAATTATAAATGTTCATACACTTGTACTGTCTGATACTGACATCAGCAGCTTTCTGTAGCTTCTGTAAAAAGAGACAGGTTTGTGAGCATTTCTAAGGCAGTACTGAATGTAATTTTGAAAAACATGGATTGTGCTTCATGACTTTTTTCTTTTTGAACACATACACACAGCTAAATAGTGCCTTTTTTCCTCACAATCCATGTTGAAGATGCTCGCTCCCACTCACCCTCCGTAAATTGATTTGTTTGTGCAATACTATTCCAACTTGAAACCATTTTGTCACAGCTGTTTGAGAAATAATCTCCATTTTTCCGTACTATGCTGCCAGCTTTCTGTTGTTGAAGTGTTTCAGTTGATTACCTAATGCAAATGCTACAAAATAAAACACCCAGTGGGAAGGGGAAAGAAAAGAAGTCTGGTGTCCTGTCTTAATATTTGCATGTTACATTCACATTCAGTGCTTTTTTTCCAAGAAGATGTTGCTATGCAGTATTGTGAACCTTGTTTGCAGCTATTGTGATTTTGCGCGGATGGGGGGAACTGGAGTGTAGCTCATCTGTAATAATTTCATATAACTATAACCAAATTTATTTATAAGCCTTTAGAATTTGCATTGGGCTTTCTGGCTGGAAATGTAATAAATTTGCAGAGGGCATACACTGTGCTGGCAGTGTCAATGAAAAGTTCTTAGTATTAAACCCAAGATGTGTAAGACTGGAAAACTGGCATTAAAACAGTGTGTTGATACATGTGTGCTTCCCTGCCCGAGGGAACGAATGCCCTGACCAGTTACTGTGGTACTGGAAGACGCTCATGCAGTGATGAGTACGGTATAAGAACTTGAGTAGAATAGAAATGTCCTTAGCATTTGTAAGCAAGCACTTAAAACAAGGAAATAGAGTGAGCGTGGCTGCGCTGCTCTGTTGAGGACGTCTAACGTGTACTGTATCCTGTGCCCTATAAACGTTCCTAGCTGCGCACACTGGGGAGCTGTGCGGCCGTCTGACCTGGCCGAGTTTCTTACGCGATAGTTCCTAAGTATTTTGTTGTCAGCCTTGATGGTGAAGACCCATCATGCAGTTACTCAGCAACTTCCACCTGAGCAGTCTGGTGGCGCTGAAGTCCCCGTTTCGTTGGAAGTACACCTTTCCTTACTGCCATCAGAGGAGCGATAGATAGGTGTACTTGTGCACAGGAAACAAAGTCTCTCTGCTTATATGAGCCAGGGGGAAGTGGAGGAAAAAATTGCCTATATAAAGGTACAGGACTTCCTAAGCTCATTGTACCTCTTTCTGAAATGATGTAGTGAACAAAATGACAGCTAAAAAAAAGTTAGAATACAAAAAAATGCCTTGTTTAAAATGACAGTAGCTTCTCCTGTGAAAGACAGAATGACTGTAGTGTTACAGATATGTGCTAAATACTGGTTGAACGTTTGTTTGTTGCCGTTTGCACAGGTCATTAGTCTCATCAGTTGGAGATCGTGGGAGGGGAGTGAAAGAAGGGAGAGGAGTTTTTTGTTCAAAGCTAGATTTTTTTTTCAGGTCCTGTATTTTTGTTTTACTTATTGTTTGAATCTTGCACTTGATTTGAGTATCATTTCCTTGCTTCTTAATAAAATACAAGAAGTTGCTAGTGAATGTCAAAGCAATGTCCAGATGTTTTCTTCAAGCACAAGTCCCCTGCTATGACCTCCCTCCGGCTTCATTACCACATAACGCAGATGTGGTAACTTTCAATAAGAGCTAATTTAAAGGACTAATAATACTCTTTATTAAAAAA